TTAAAAATAAAGTTCATCATTTGGTTTCTGCGTAGGCCTGCGTTTGCCGCTATTGTCATTTACCTACCATGTGCGCTAATGGGTGGGCGGGGCTAAACAGGCAGCGATGCAGAAGCAGGCATTGATCTTCTGCGGAGGTGGTGTTTATCCACACTATCATTTCATAAAGTGGCACATTTCCACAACCTGTCATATTGGCAAATTTTAGACTAACGAGAAAGTTTTCAGTTCTGAAACTTACAGGATGTTTTTATAGCACAATGACTATCAAAAGATCAAGGAATTTTGATTTCTCAGTTCATGACCCCTTTAAATAACATTCTAAAAATCACCCGTGAAAACAAACCAGAAAAGAGACTGAACGAAGATTTGGGGAAATGACAGCTTTATCACATTCCAGTGAATTATTTATGGGATGTGTTCATTAAACTGGGAGAGTTGATCACAAGAGTACAGTATTTGTGGTCTTTTCCATATTGTTACCGTGGACAATAAATCAAGATGGGCTTAAAAAGGGAAATTAAGTCTTCCAAACCATGACCGATAACCGTTTGTCTTATTTTGAATTTTTTTCCAAGGGTGAATTTGATCCAAATATTACTACGATTTAATGTAGCTTTTCAACATTAATCTTAAAATATGAATATAAAATATAAACTTAAATGGTCTGATAAGCACCCGCAATACTCTAACACTTTTCAATGTGGAACTTGCAGTTGGTCTACCTGGGAGAATGCTTTCCATGGTGTACCTTTACAAAGATCATCGTGGGCCATCCTGAACATCAGGCGCTAAAAGGTAGGGGTACTACTATTGTGCCTCCCTAAGTAAGCTGTGGTGTGTGTGGTCCATGTAAAGTTCTCTAAGGTGTGGACCTGGAGATACTTGAAGCCTTTCAGTCTCACAACAGGGGCCTCTCTCCAAGTACACAATAGTTTCTTTAGTCTCGTTGACACTGACACAGACTCCTAAAGTGTCAGGTTGTCCAACAGATTAGCTACTTTTGTATACATTAAATTCCTGTAAAATTACTGGATTAACTTTTCTGTTCAAACATAGGGGAGAGTGGGGTAAGTTGACCCACCCCCTGTATCTGGCCAACTGTACACCTTTACTGTCATGTGACCATGTATTCACACAATTTCTGCAAGACTGTGAAAAGGAGAGACACGTGAGAGGAGTGGAAGGCACCCATTTATTTTAAAAACTGTTTTTGGCTTGTCAAAGTAACATTTTAGCATAATTTATGTAATGGCGGTTACATCAAAGCAAATTTATCCAGGTCTACAAATATTTGTGATGCATATAGGTGATTTAGAAACATACAAAACCGTACAAATCATTTCGCTAAATATTAGCCTGAATTGGTAAGCTAGCTCTCTTTTTCCAAAATGCCAGCTATTGGGAAAAGTGAGCCAAATGATGTGGGGTAAGTTGATATATATATATTAGGGTTGGGCCGATAGACGATGCCATCGTCCATGACTGATAGACATCATGATGTTGAGCCGGCATCGCGATACCCCTGCACCCCCCCCCCCCCCCCACCCCCCCCCCCCCCCCCCCCAAAAATCGAAATCCTGTCATCATTTACTCACCCTCATGTCATTCCAAACCTGTATGAATTAGTTTTTCCCTCTGTGGAACACAAAAGAAAGTCTGTTTTTGTCTACATAATGAAAGTCAAATGGACTTTGGCACAAGTTTGAGATCTTTTTTAGAATGTCTTATTTTGTAGACAACATGAGGGCGAGTGAAAGATAACACAATTTTCATTTTTTAAGGCAAGACATACAATCAACATGATGACTGGTGAATTTTGGGCTCTTTTGCTTCCATGAAATGTCATCTTTCTGAATAGTGTGGGGGGAAAAAAACAAGTGTTTATTTTATTTCACTTTATCTATATGCCAGAAATGTCCAGTAGCACTTACATAAACCAAACTTTACTGTTTTATTCATATCTATATTCTGAAGGTTTTTACATAGTGGTTTGTTCATATATCATTCGCCTGATTTATATAGCATTTTATTTCTGGCTGCTGACAGTTGACATTTTCTGAATCATGGAGTAATATATGGAGCTTTTGTAAAAACCTTTAACCCTAACATGTCAGCAAAATGAAACAAGAATTTTGAACCTGTGTTCAGATTTCTATAAAACCCGTTTCCACCAGGGGACAAAAACATAAAAAATAATAGAGGTAATTGCGACTTTTTTTATTTCACAATTTAGATGTTTTTCTTGGAATTTTAACTTTTTTTTTCCTCGCAATTCTTCTTTTTTTCTTCTCAGAATTATAAACATTTGTTATAAAGCCAGAATTGTGAGATGGAAACTCACAAATCTCACTTTTTTCCCCTCAGAATTGCAAGAAAAATAAGTCTGAATTGTGAGATAAAAAAGTCACAGTTACTTTTTTTGTTTTTGTATCCCATGATTGAACAGGTTTCCATAGATTTCTATGCATTTTTAATTACATACCGCCTCATCTCCGTATTTATACATTTCAGTAAAATTGTAATACAAAATTTGATGTCTTACCGTACTGTTATTAAGTAACTGGGGAAGAATGGTGATATCTAGTAGTTAAAAATGTTACCCTATTCACCTGAGCTGTCTAATTTCTAATTTCACCCACTTCTGAAGGGTGATTGATTTTACGACAGGTGAAACGAACAGTCGGGGAAGTCAAGTTCAAGTACACATATGTCTAGACCGTCTCGTTCCATACCGTCCCTCTTTCTTCGCATACGGGGGTGGGGGGGGTCTGTTTTCCCTTTGACCCGTGTGTAAGTTGCTATGGAAGGGCGGCGAGAGGGTTCAGTAATGTTCCTGTGAAAAGGCCGTGCTGTTTGGGCGCGGCACCCGCGTCCCCCCCCCCCCCCCCCCCCCCATACCCCGCGTCCCAATACTGTGTTCCGAAAGAAAATGACGTGTAATATGGAACCCCAAAGGGGAATAAATACGAGATGGGAGGCACATATATTTTTCAGTATTTAATGTTTACGTGAGAGTGCGCATGCATCTTTGACGCAGCATACGGCGGTGTTGTACATTGTGACCAGTTGATGGGAAAAGTATTCTTATAATGCATTCAAAATTGAATAATTTGTAATAAATAGTTATTCTCTGTATTTTGAAGTGCCCACGATAACAATACTGTGCATATTCATTATCGTGATATATCGCATTACCGAATACTGGCACATGTCTGAACATGAACCCCCCAAATAATGGTCCCCCCAAATTTTTCTCCATAATCCATTACACTTCGATTTGTCACAATATGGAAGAAAAGATCTGACGCTTCTTCCATTTCATTGTGACTTTAATAGCAGCTCAAATCACAAGAACTGCTCCATTTCACTTTCTTCATTACCAAAGTTTGTTTCTGCATTTCCGTACAGATCTGAAATTTAATTACTTCTGTTTATCAAACAAGACAAAATGTGCAGAATTATGAATGATTAAAGGATTTATGCAGTGTAATCTTGATTAAGCCGACACTGTTGCCAAATGACAACTGGCATTTGTCTGGGTTGACAATCACCATACAAGAGCTTTAGTTAATTAGGCCCAACTAATCAAGCATATGAAACATAATATTACATCAGAGATAATCATAGCCCACCCCCACCTCCCGTTCTTGCCCCAGTGGGCAATTGTAACACTGATTAGGCCGAGACGGGGTGGTTAACAAACAAGGACGGCCATCCAGGCTAAGCAGCTGGTGTCCTAGATTACCTCTAGTCAGCTCGGGTCTCTTATTTCCTGGCCTTAAATAGGCGACACAGTGGGATTAGGACAAGGGGTTAGCCTGACGGGGCAAGAGCGTACAATGGCTACACAATCTCCTTGAGGTCTGAAGTGATTGGAGAAATGGGCTTTACAATCAGCCAGTAACAAAGGCTTCCAAGAGATGAAGGAGAGGTGTACAACTTCATTAAGGGTTGCTTTCTTGAAATGCAACCCCATCAGCTAAATGAAAAGATATGGTACCACAGTGTCCTTGGATTAGCTTTGGATGCACTTCTTGCATTAGTAGAATTTGATCTTTAACTGGGTAAGCAGAGGTTTACTTGAGATTTTAATCAACTAAAGTGGTCCCAAGGGTCAGCCTTGGGGCACACCGCTTGTCTAGAGATGAAGAAAACGAGATTTGGTCTGAAGCATATGGAGGACCACCCTCATAGAAACAGAGGTTGAGAGAACACGTACAGTGTGATATTAGCATCTAAATCAGATGGTGAACAAGAGAGAGAGAAGAGACTGGGAGAGAGACTTGGCAGCGGATGTGTTCTACTCAATGATGGTTTTGTGCTGAGCCAAAAGAGCAACCTGATCCACAGACCGAATTAAGTTAAAATGTCACGGACTAGCAGCACCTTCAAATATAAGCCAATGTCTCCATCACTGTGTAATCTTAAACGCCATAGTTGTGAGCCAGGTGTCCAGAGTAACTCAACAAAATTACTTTATTAAGAGCAAAAAAAAAACAGGATATGAACTGCAGGGTGTGGTCGATTTTCATGGAATGAAGATATGGAAGACTACCATAGATGTGTCATTTGGTTTCCTTTAAACATTAAAAATATTGAACAAATTACATTTGTGTATACAAACACTACCATTCAGTAAGATTAATATTTTCTTCTGCAAACAATTAACAATTCTATAATAAGTATTTCCTAATATTACTGTTTTGACTGTATTCTTAAGCATATAAATACAGCCTTGGTTGAACAAACTTCTTTTCAAAAACGTATTGACCCCACACTTTAAATAGTATCGTGTACTCATTCTGGCTTATTTTAATTTAAAAGTGGTAAAGTTTTAAGGCTAAATCAAACCGGATAAGGATGAGCTACATTAAATAAGAAAAAGTCTTAACCTTTAATGTCGAAAGGATGCCTGACAATCACTTTATTTCACTGTTAAAAGTACTGTCTTGTCTGTTTCCCACATGCAAATCAAAGGTCAGCTTTATTTGTTATACCAATCTCTAAACACAGGAGCTGCATTGTGCTCCTGTGCAGGCAGCATTTACTGGCTCGGTTTAACTCTGACAGATTGACTGACTGTGGAAAACAGCAAATCTTTAGCTACACTGATTTCCCTCTCAAATAACAAATGGGATGAGCAAACTATCCTTTCAAACATCCCCAGACAATACAGACTGCTTTAAAAACGCTCTTTCAATATGACTGTATAGGCGTAGAGTAAGACCTTTGAAGCAAAGCATTGTAGCTACCCTGGATCCTTTTGATGGGGTAACAGACTAAAACTGGCTGGTCTTTCCGAGCACCTGAGTACAACCATGGGAAACTAGTGTGAGGTCTATTCATGCGAGTTGTTTTATCTCACTGGATTTCGCCGCTGATATGAACCGCTTTGCTACATTTCAAGTGGTTTGGTATTTGGCGCTCTGAAACTACGAAACGAGAATTTCAGTCAGAGGCCAAGATCCTAATCAAATGTTGTGTCTAAATCGTTAATTTAACAAAATACAACTTTCTCAAATGTGAACAGATTAAACAATTTTTAACAAGTATATCAACCTAAATGCACTCTTTCAAAAGTTCAAAGTTTCAATAGCATTGTGGTTTAAATATGCATAAATGCTTATGGAATTGCAACATAAAACTGGACAGTACTTCAATCTCAGTAAGTATTTGTGTGCCAACTATGATCAGCATGTAGCAGAACTGAAAGGGCTGAGGGGATTGACTTGGACATCTTTACATAGATTGCTTCAAGGGGAGCAGATATTTTTAGGTAGTCCAACACGTTTAGAGAGATACTGATGTGAATTTCACAGACCGTGATAGATTCTCCATGAGATTTTCTATGGAAGTTCCCAATATTGCTTTACAAGTGGCCCTAAACAGTATTTGGACATTTAATCAACACCTTAAATTAATTAAATATATAGTGTTGTCAAAAGACTTCGGTACCAAAAAAAATGAAAACGTACCAGGATATTATTATTATTTTTTTTTTAAGTACTGGTGGTACCGAGTACCCAGTCAACCCGGTTCTTGATGCGCTATCCGAAAGGTGCGCAGATGCGCTCTCTTCATAAAAGCACTGAGACATGGTGACATCAAAATAAGGAAACATCAAACTAAAAAAAAAAACACTAGACAGACACCCAGATCAAATGAAAGAGTTCAAGCATTTTTAATATTTAGATCTTCTCAGTGTTTCCTATGAAAGTGCCCGCCACAATATCAAAACTCACCGCCACAAATAGATTTTCCAAAAGGCTTTGACTTCATTGAATAAACATGAGCACTGCAGGTGTCAAAGTCGAAACCTGGCGAGGGTGTTTTTATATCACTGTATTTCTAAAGGAAACCGACTGTCTTCAGAAAATTATGGATGCCATTTTCATTTCATCTTGCCTGTAATGTCTGAGCGGCGTTTGTGAGCGCAGCGCTTATTTGATTACAGCCGTTACTGAGGAAACCTCTCTCTCTCCTGCTCTACAAGCGCCTCCTGCTGGCAGAGAATGAATTTGCATATATATGCCGCCACAAATAGAGTGCAAGTCTGTGGGAAACGCCGCTTATGTTATGAATATTATTTAATATTTTAATTTGAAAGTCGGATTGAAATGAACACCGCTGTTATTAGAGTAATATCTCTTTGGTTTTAAAACTTTAGTCTTTGCAACTTCAGGGATCTTATCTATGCACAATCAGCTTGTAACACTCCAAAGAGAAAGGAAAACTTGAAATCGCATCATATGACCCCTTTAAGATTGAGCAACATTTTTGACACACTATTGCCGGCACATATTTGTTCCATCAACTAAAATAGTCAGAGTGCAATGAAACGTACATCTCCAAGCAACATGCTGTAGCAGTGCTCCTGAATGAATTAGTGTGCAAACACATAAGCTCAACAAATTCAATGATTTACCTAAAAAAAAAAAAAGTGTCACCACCTACTGCTCTGCGGGTGTACAGAAATATTAGCTGGAAATCCTACACTTTTCATGCCATTGACTTTCATTCATACACAAGCAAATTCAGGAGACGAAAAAAAGTTCCAAAGTTTGGTGAACTCTGACTTAGGAATTCGTAACACATTATGATCTGTAGAAGAATGATACATCACATGACCAATAACATGCATCAAATGAATGCAAACTTTAAAGCTGTCTATTTGTAATGTTAAATTTATGTTATATTAAAAAAAAGCGACACAGAGCAGGACATAACTCATTTGTCGGTCCAAAAATGTGTAAAACGTGTTAATATCTTTACAAATTATTATTTACTGTAAACATTTTAATGTTTTGCTTTAACTTTATTGCTACTTTTTTTATCCTAATGTACCCCGGCTATCTTTGTAAACCAATAAATAAAACACCAACAACAACAAAAAAAAGTCACATGCTCACAAGTCTAGTGTGACCACGTCTTAATACACAGATTCACATTCTGTCTTTAACTTGCAAACACAGACAATATAAACAGTGAGAAGTCCCATTGCTGAGGGACTGTATACCAGGCCAATCAAATTACATAACCAGAAGAACTAACCACTTTATGCATGCATAAATAAATACACAAATTAACTCCCCTAGTTCAGAGCCCCCCCCCCCCCCCCCCCCCATTGTAAAACGTGTTAATATCTTTACAAATTATTATTTACTGTAAACATTTTAATGTTTTGCTTTAACTTTGCTACTTTTTTTATCCTAATGTACCCCGGCTATCTTTGTAAACCAATAAATAAAACACCAACAACAACAAAAAAAAGTCACATGCTCACAAGTCTAGTGTGACCACGTCTTAATACACAGATTCACATTCTGTCTTTAACTTGCAAACACAGACAATATAAACAGTGAGAAGTCCCATTGCTGAGGGACTGTATACCAGGCCAATCAAATTACATAACCAGAAGAACTAACCACTTTATGCATGCATAAATAAATACACAAATTAACTCCCCTAGTTCAGTCCCCCCCCCCCCAAGAAGCACTCTCTCAACTTGCTGCTGTATTTGGCTCACTGTACTGCTGATGCTGTTCGTAGACTCATAAAAATATTTGTTGCACAATAAGCTCTCTGATGGACTGCCAGGCAATAAGTTTGAACCTGTTGCATGCATCTGCCACCATATGCCTGCCATCAAACAGTATAACACTGTGTGCTAGGAATACATACAGACAGAGAAGAGTTCAACTCATGGATGATAAATCTAGGAAAATATTGTCAGGGTAATGCTGCACCACAGCTGGCTTACCTTCAACGGACTGGCCGATACTGTGTAGATGTGTGATATCAGGAAGCGTCCTGTTGATGTCTTTCAAGTACTGCTCCATTTCCATGCTGTCATGATAGCGAAACTCCAGACCGTGAATGGATGACAGCCAGGACCATAAGAACAGGCAGAGCGTGAAGACGAACATCCTTTAAGCCAACACAATTGAAGAGTGTAGAAACCTTTTCCAGAAACGCAAACAGAGAAGACAATGACGTGGATGTACCCTTATCTTGATTCATTTCACTTTTATTGTCAGTCAATATGGATACATATTTTTAAAGCCATAAAAACATTCAATAAACACGTTTCTTTATATGACAGGTGTGTACTATGTCCAAAAATGCTATCTAGATAGGCAGCTCACTATGAAGTGATTTGATATATAGTTTGGACAGAAGAGCCCAAGGCTGTCTATGTAATATAATTAACTAATTTTTCAGAATTGCCCTTCATAAAATAATTCTGAGCATCATATCGGACTAATTTGTTTTTAGTGCTTGCTTTGTATGCATCATAACTTAGCATAATTCATATTGTATCTATCCATCCTCACGCAAAGCCTCACGCACTTAATAAATGCCCTTATAAAAAGTACTGTGGTGGCACCATGGTACACGTATGATATTATTAATGCAATTGTACTGACTACATTTACATGGTATTTCAAGGTACTTAAAATATGATGTTAGTGTCCACATCCAAAACATGATCATTGTGTTGCACCCAACAGGTCAGCTGTAATCTAATATGCTTTAAACAGCAGTAATGTAATATGCTTTCAAGTCAAGGTTAATGTTTGTTTTTAAATATTAATGTTTGCCTTTTCTACGAGCGTGTAATATGTTTCTGAACATTTTTTGAGTATTTGGCACCTATGATGGCCATACATGCAAATTTATGGATAAGGTTATCAGGTCACTATTCTTTACATATTTGTGGTGGAACCGTGCTACAGTGATGGTATCAACTATATAATATCAGTAATATCATATCATTACAACATATATGTATATGTACACACAAAGTCATAACAGTGCGTGTATAAACAGTAAACTACAGTATCAACAAATAATTAAAACCACCATTGTGCTCTTATATTATAAATAAAACATGACATGAAACAAACTGCATTGCTTCATAAGGTAGACTCCTAATTAACCAAACAACTTTAGACGTTGTACTTAGTAATAATGAGAGTAAACGAGCAGCTTTACCTCTCGTGCGTTCTCTGAGACAGTTTAGGTCCTTCTCCTGTTTGTTCAGTTACTCTCTTGCCATAATATGATACAATATGATGTTAATTAAGTTCATACGTTGTCGTCCTGCTCGTGTCATTGATGAAATGAAGGTATTTTGTTCCATACCGCAGTGAGTTGAACCGACTCCAGCCTCGTGTGTGTTTGGTGCAGCTGTAACTAATGAGAGGAGGCGGAGCGCTCATTCACACACACTGAATCAATGACACCTTCACATGAATGATGTGGTGTGTTTGGTGAACTACTGTTTGTTAATCTGTTTACTATTTGCATTTCATTTAAATGTACATCGTACACGTACAGCGACAGGTATTACCTGAAAATTATTTGCATATTCCAGTATCTTCTTGACCAATCCAATGTGCATATTCTGCTGCTACTGACTCTCACAATGACCAATGACCAATCACCATATGTTTGACTATTTTCAGTGAAAAACTTGGTAACACTTTATTTCGATAGTCCACTTTAGACATTCTATTAACAGTAAGTAACTTCGCAACTACATGTCAACTACATGTCAACTAGCAGTTAGTAGAGTATTAGTAGACTGTCTGCTTAATATCTTTCTTTGTCAACTTATTCTACTAACCCTAAACCTACCTTAACAGTCTACTCTGAGAGTTAGTAGACATGTAATTGCAAATTAATGAGAATTAGTTGACATGTAGTTGACATGTAGTTACAAAGTTACTTATAGTTAGTAGAATGTCTAAAGTGGACTATCGAAATAAAGTGTAACCAAAAACTTAAGCTTAAAAACAATGCAGATATATATCTATATATATATCAAAGGTAATCCATTATGGTTTGGACGTCACATCACATCCTGCATGGTTAAAAAGGGACATCATATATCAAAAAAGTTAACATACAAGTATATATATATATATAAACTAGATTCATAATTTGAACAATTGCTATGAACAGCATGTTTACATATTCTGCAAACACCATATAAGAGAGCAACACAAAGAAGAACGAAAGGAAAATGGTTTGCAGCCAAACTGTTTCATTTTAGACTAAGATCTCTGGAATTTTGCTGTCAGATTTTAGGTGTAGCACTCATCTCCAGCTTGCTGTCCCTCGGGGAGACAGTACAACCAGATAATTTACATCCCTGTTACTTGAAGCTCACTCTTTACTGCTGAGTTTACACTCTCCTACTGTAGAATTAGGCATTAGTGCGATTGTTAGAAATAGATGTGTATGTTGTCCAGAAGATCACATAAATACATCACAGTGTAGTTGCAAATAAACTTGACATTTGCATTGCCTCATTATTCTTTATACTGATCTAAAAGAGTGCTTCAGCTTGGTCCAGTTTGCATTTCTAGGATAACAAACTTTAAATGTCTAAAGAGCGCTCTAGCAGGAAAAGGTCATTTATCAACAAACTTAAACTAGACCAATGCGTTTAAAGAAAACCAGTGACACAAGTATTTGCTTTTTTTTCTTCCAATATTGGAAGGTGGCCTGAATTCCAGCCTCTATTTTTGTCGTAAAAAACATAAACACAAATAACAAACACGATATGCCATCATGCATGAGTCATGTCAGAAGAAGGATTCCACTTTAACTGACCTATAATCTCCTCAAACACTATAAACATGTTTAACAGTAGCCTACCGTTAAGGTACGGTCACAGACACGGTTGAAATCCAGACCTTTCAGAAGGAATCCACGCGACTGACTTCATATATTGGTACACTGACCAATCCAATGTGCATATTCTGCTGCTACTGACTGTCACAATGACCAATGACCAATCACCATATGTTTGACTATTTTCAGTGGAAAAACTTGGTAACACTTTATTTCGATAGTCCACTTTAGACATTCTATTAACAGTAAGTAACTTCGCAACTACATGTCAACTAGCAGTTAGTAGAGTATTAGTAGACTGTCTGCTTAATATATTTCTTTGTCAACATTCTACTAACCCTAAACCTACCTTAACAGTCTACTCTGAGAGTTAGTAGACATGTAATTGCAAATTAATGAGAATTAGTTGACATGTAGTTGACATGTAGTTACAAAGTTACTTATAGTTAGTAGAATGTCTAAAGTGGACTATCGAAATAAAGTGTAACCAAAAACTTAAGCTTAAAAACAATGCAGATATATATCTATATATATATCAAAGGTAATCCATTATGGTTTGGACGTCACATCACATCCTGCATGGTTAAAAAGGGACATCATATATCAAAAAAGTTAACATACAAGTATATATATATATATAAACTAGATTCATAATTTGAACAATTGCTATGAACAGCATGTTTACATATTCTGCAAACACCATATAAGAGAGCAACACAAAGAAGAACGAAAGGAAAATGGTTTGCAGCCAAACTGTTTCATTTTAGACTAAGATCTCTGGAATTTTGCTGTCAGATTTTAGGTGTAGCACTCATCTCCAGCTTGCTGTCCCTCGGGGAGACAGTACAACCAGATAATTTACATCCCTGTTACTTGAAGCTCACTCTTTACTGCTGAGTTTACACTCTCCTACTGTAGAATTAGGCATTAGTGCGATTGTTAGAAATAGATGTGTATGTTGTCCAGAAGATCACATAAATACATCACAGTGTAGTTGCAAATAAACTTGACATTTGCATTGCCTCGTTATTCTTTATACTGATCTAAAAGAGTGCTTCAGCTTGGTCCAGTTTGCATTTCTAGGATAACAAACTTTAAATGTCTAAAGAGCGCTCTAGAAGGAAAAGGTCATTTATCAACAAACTTAAACTAGACCAATGCGTTTAAAGAAAACCAGTGACACAAGTATTTGCTTTTTTTTCTTCCAATATTGGAAGGTGGCCTGAATTCCAGCCTCTATTTTTGTCGTAAAAAACATAAACACAAATAACAAACACGATATGCCATCATGCATGAGTCATGTCAGAAGAAGGATTCCACTTTAACTGACCTATAATCTCCTCAAACACTATAAACATGTTTAACAGTAGCCTACCGTTAAGGTACGGTCACAGACACGGTTGAAATCCAGACCTTTCAGAAGGAATCCACGCGACTGACTTCATATATTGGTACACTATTGACAATGGACCCTTTTTTGCCAGTAAAATGTCACTGAAATTTCACAAATGTGACTGAAACTTTTGGCCACTTTTACCCTTGTTCTGAATTTTTATGGGCAACATCCAGTCATTTCAATAGGATTCCACCCGATTGGGATTTTTGCAAGAGAGTGAAGATTTCGCAAAACAGGTTCAAGTTGGTGATGCAAATTGGGCACCTTGGTTTGGTTTGAAAATGGTTTGAAAATGGTTTGAAAATGACTTCTTTGTGAACTGCGTTTCGTTCATTGCTAAACTATTGACAATAGACAATGGGACCCATTTTTGTCCACAAAATTTCACCAAAATTTTGCAAACGTACCCAAACCTTTACTTTTAAAGTGTGGTACATTTAAAGTGTGGCAAAATCCAGTCATTTCAATTGGATTCCATGTGATTGGGATTTTTGCGTAAGTGTGAAAGATTTCGCAACAGGTTCAAGTTTGTGATGCAAATTTGGTGCATTGACCAACAAAAAAGCTGCTTGGATTGAAAACGACTTCTTTATGAGTTACGCTTCACAGTCTACATTGCTACACTATTGACCCATTTTTTTGGACACGAAATTTCACACAAATTTCACGAATGTGACCACACCTTTACTCTTCAAATGCGGTCACATTCACCCTTGTTTGGCGAATTTTCATGGGCAAAATTCAATAGGATTCCACACGATTGGGATTTTTGCATGAAGTTGAAAAACAAAACTTTCAACAGGTTCAAGTTAGTGTCACAAATTTGGTGCATTGACCAGCAGAAAGCTGCTTGGTTTCAAAGTAACTTCTTTGTGAAATGCGCTTCATTCATTTCTACACTTTTGACAAAAGGCAATGGACCCATTTTTTTAGGCTGTGAAATTTTGCAAATGTTTTTTTGTGAAAACATTTGATTCTTTTTTGGCTAATTTTCATGTGCAAAATACAGTAATCTGAATAGGATATTTGCGCTAAATCGACAGATTTTGACCAACAAAAAACAAAAAAGCTTTTGGTTTGAAAAGTGGTTTGTACATCGCTACACACCTGGAAGACAGGCCCACAAAATCTCACTAATGTGACTGCGCATTTAATCTTACTGTCTAACTTGTAAATCTTCTGAAATGTCCATGTGGAAAGTTACTGTATTGATGCCAGGATGGTTGCTAAGGTGTTCTGGGTAGTTATTAGGACACTGCTAAGCTGTTGCATGGAAGTTAAGTGGTTACATACAGTTAAAAAACAAAACAGTTGGTTTCCGGATATGGTCTATGAGATATAGTCTATGAGATTTAACTCAGTTTAAAGAGTTTAAATGTAGGTTAGTAACTTGTTTATTTTGCACCATCTTAAAATCTGTATCCATTCAAGCCTATAATTCCAGTCTCAATGTAAAAACCCACATAATAGCTCTTGCACATCATTAGTCCTGACAGCTGCAATCTAGTCTCATATTGTGCTGCATGTGAGAGAGTGTGCTCAGACGTCTGGAGGTGTTCACCGGTATGTGTCTGTACACATCCACATTTGACAAGAGGTTTCAAGTTATGTATGTTACATAGTACCTTGCTTAAAATAAAACAACCAATAAAACTAAATGTCATTTACAGTTATGGTATCTATGAAATGTCACATTTCACAGGTCTTTGTAAAAGACTTTAAAAGGAAATTTGGTAACACTTTACTTGAAGGGGTGTGCATAAGACTGACATGACACCTTCATAATCATGACATGACACATGTCATGAATATGAAGGAGGTTGTATGCATGTTTATGACAACTGTCATTAAGTGTCATTCGCTCAGTTATGTCATTTTTAATGCAAATATGACATTATTTGACCTAACCCTAACCTAACCCCACCCCTACCCTTACCCCTAACCATAGCCCATAACAAAGACATCTCAAACAATGTCATATTTGCATTAAAAATTACATAACGGAGCGAATGACACTTAATGACAGTTGTCATAAACATGCATTAAAACCTTCATATTCATGACATGTGTCATGTCATGATTATGAAGGTATCATGTCAGTCTTATGCACACCCCTTCAAGTAAAGTGTAACTGGAAATTCTTCAAAATCTCCCATTTTTGTTTGAAAGAAAAATCAGCTAAATCTAGACCAGTTAGACCAGCAAATAAATCAGATTTTTCTTTATTTGGCCACTGGTCGGCTCATTTTTAGGTCAGTGTTCATAAACAATGGGTTGCGTCAACAAATTTTGACTGCATTAAATCAACAGATCAATCCTCTACTGAACACTGACAGGACGCCCATGAATTATGCCATTTTAAACACTCGACAACAAATAGTTTCCAGTGACCTGAAGGCAAAATCTTCTCCTCTAGTCATGTTCTCTTTGTTTGTTCCAAAAAAAGAGGTTGACGCATACAGTTTGATTTCAACACCTTGTGTCTCGCGTTCTTACGCTTTTAGGAAATTCACTTTTCCTGAACGGGGCCGTTGACTGTTTTCATACTAAATGAGTGAAACAGTTGGATAATTAACTTGAACAGTTTTCATATCTCTGTTCCACAGAGCCAAAGAAGTCATGAGAACTGGAAACAATGGCCTAGGCTGTCTTTATCATGAGACAATAAACATCAATCACTCTTATCATCATGCCCAGGTTACAAATATTGTCTATAGCTGTCAACGCGGTGCAGTGTTTTGAAAATAGCTATGAGGAGTTTCCATATGGCAGGATTATTTATTAGTAAGTTTGTCTGAGAATTGAGACCATGACCTTATCAAGCTATTGAGTTTTTCATCTTAAATCGAAAAGGTTTTGACCAAAATGTACAATCTAGTGGGTGAAAAACAGAGGCTTTGCCATCTGGGCCTGCACTTTATTGTCTGCATTTGTTCAATGGCATTAACATTACATCTAGAGTCAATAAAGTCATATATAATGAAGATGAAACTTTTATATTGAGCGCCGTTCTGAGTAAAATCCTGCACCATCCTTCCCTACTTCTTCATGAATTGTTAAGTTTGAAATAGATCTCTGGTATCGAATTGCACAATATGTTTAAGCAGAAAGAGACATCTGGTGGTGGTAAGAAGATCATGCATCCAAATATTTTGCAGTCTTTAGAATTTGAAGGACTCGCATACAAACAAATGAGATGTCAGAACACAACTACACATTTCATACTGTCACACACACAAACAAAATGGCATTTTTTTTTTTAAATCACCACGTTGTTTTATTAGAGAAGGGGAATGCTGATAATTAAGTTGCATTTAGTAGTCTAACAAAGAAATATTAAATTCAACAATCTGAAATAGAATGTTGTCAAAATGAAGTGTGCTCCACCAGTTTATTATACTGCAATGACAAGCCTGGAATAAGGAAACAATTTGGTGCTAGAGCAGAGAATAAATTAGCTTGCTTGTCCATGAATAAGACATAAAGAATACAGTTTTTCTTTTTGCATTGATATGATTCTGAATAGCAGACGAGATCACGCAGGGATACATAAGGAGTGTGTGTTGTATTAGGAAATACAATGCATCTGCTACATATTCAGTAGCAAACATATATAAATGAACGTGTGAAATGAGTTGGTAGTGTTGTCATGCCATATAATCAAGTCAGCCATTAAAAAAAAAAAGGTATAAGTCAAGGTACATGGCAAGTCATGTTTAGTGATTAATGTTAAGTAAGATGATAAAATGATAAACACAGGTGTCTACCTAATGTCCATGTGGTTGGAGGAACCAATGCTGGTAAAGGCTCCATGCAAATGGATACTCCAAAAAAAAAAAAAAATCATGTTTAACAACCTCACTTAAACTTTCCTGAAATACATCCATGCAAAACAAGTGTGCATTTAAAATGAAATAAAATAGAATGTGTTCAAAAAAGGGTTTAGGCATTTGGAATACGGACTGGAAAATTTACCAACAGATCTTCAATGAGATGTACAGCTTGATTGTGTTATAACAATTAAAACCTGTGCTTTTTGTGAAATTGAAATTCGATAATCTGATGTACAGTTGATTATTTAAAGAATTCCACTGAGTAACAGCACAGGTACAACCAACTTTACACAGCAGCTGCATGCTACAAACTACCAGCCATATTATTGAATTATTGAACAGATTTGTGATTCAGTAACTACTTGCATAATTTGCACTGGGCATCACAGACAGACATTTATCAGATGAATTTGGGTAAATTGAGCCACTTTAACTGTCCCAATTTACTTAAATTCACCCTTTGTTACAGACTTCTCTGCTAATGACAGTAAAACAGTGTTGTGATATTCTGCTTGCCACATCCAAGACAGCTTTCATAATTTTCATCAAGCTCTGGTTTCAGTTGGTCTTATCAGTTATTAATCTGTTACCTTGATGAACTGAAAATATGAGATCTACTTGCTGGTCAGTGCAACAGATTTTGAGAGCGCACATACCCCCTAAAATTCCCTTTCAATTTAAGATTAAATATCTGCATTTTATATATAACCTCAAAAAACAAGCTTTACAAACAAGGTTTTTACTTTCACTTGAACACTGTAGTGATGCACTGAAATGTTCTGTCCAACAGTGATTAAATTCACTGTTAGTTGTTTGTAATATACATATCTAACCTACACAAATCTTTGTTCTTAAAAAATATATTCACAATCAAGGAATAAAGTGTCCTCTAAAGTATGCTTATGTCTGAAAAGCATAAAAATAGATGATAATTGATCAGTAACTGAGTTTGTCCATATGAAAAAGACACTCCATAACCCTCTATTTAAATATCTCAGTGTGCTAACCAAAGAAACAAACAAACAAAAAAATCTCTCTTTGCACATTTAAGCTTTGTTATATTAGTCACATCGGCAGTTAATGATTATTTTACGGACAAAAATGTACAAACAAAAGCAATAGTAAATTCTTCAGTCAGTCTTTGATCAGTACAAATGCCTGAAAATGGCAACTCTTGTGTGGTAAGGCTTGCCAGACAAATGAACAAACAAAGAACGCAAAAACATTAAACCAGGGCTGTCCAAACTCGGTCCTGGAGGGCTCCAACTTGCCTCAACACACCTGACTGGAAGTTTCTATGCCTAGTAAGAGCTTGATTAGCTGCGTCAGGTGTGTTTAATTAGGGTTGGAGCTAAACTCTGCAGGACACCGGCCCTCCAGGACCGAGTTTGGACAGCCCTGCATTAAACCAACACAAAACTGCTTGCTAGCCATCACTCATACAGTGTATCCCTCTATCTCAGTCCCTCTTAGAGCAGCATGGACTCCTGCATTGCAAAGGCCTCCTGCGTCTGCCTGTAGTGTGTTCCTCCGAACAGCGGGGGGAGCTGTTGTCTGCCGGAGTGCTCTTGGTAGGGTCCTCTGAAATGGAGCACAGCGTCCGAGATATTTGCAGGAGCAAAGTTAAACTCCTGAACGGGGTGAATGGGAGAGAGCTGAGCTTTCTGGAAGCTGGGAGATCGAGGTAGGCCCACAGGAGATCGCGGAGGCCCCGCCTCCATGTCCCCATACCAGCCCTCTCTCCGTCTGTGCACCTCATAACGCAGTTCTGTGGACGGGTAAGCAGGAGAGCCCATCAGTCGGGTCTGTTGTCGCATGTAATACCCGCCCTCGCCAACACTGTCTATCTGGGACGAAAGCTCGGCAGGAGAAACCCTGAGAGGGGGCATGTTTGGGGGTGGCCGTCGGTAGGTTAAGTAGCTGTTGTTCATCAGCGTTTTCTCTGGCGAAGGGTTAGATGAGCCACGTCCCGTAGTTGCGTAAATTTGCTCATTGTACGGCTGGCCGTATAGTCTGTCCTCGGACCGAGAATCTGAAACGTAGGTAGTGTAGACAGGAGTCATGCCGGGTGGGTAGTGCAAAGGTGCACGGGGTTCTGGTTTGCTCTGTTTAGGCATTCTAAAGGGAGAGACGTCAGTTCCATCACTAGGGGGACGGGTGGGACTGTCCTGTCTCAAAGAAGGTCCAACGTATGGTCGGGAGGGGGGGCGAGAGGGCGGTTTCTCAAGCTCTATAATCTCCATAACCTCTCCATCTGGTCCTGGGACATTGTCGTATTGCGAGGCGTTGGAGGCGCGGTTGGAGCCCGGAACAAATGCTCGTGAATGGGGTTGGCTCTGTGCCCCGGTGGCCTCCTCTGGAGTTGGGGAGCTGGGCGAGGGTGGAACACCCATAGTTAGACTAACCTGGCTTTCCCGAAGTGCTGCAGCCTTGACTGCTTCCAGTTTGCCCTCCGAAGGCTTGACCCAACGAGGTCCAATGTCCCTGCGCATGCTGGATCTAGCATTGGAGTTGTGATTCGCCTGGTTCTGGGTCAGCACCTTCCCACCACCTGTTGTGCTGCTGTGGGTTGGGACCCGTTCCTTTTGAGTGTCCACACCTCGTCCATCCCTCTCCCTTTTGTCTGGATGAGGCACCTTGTCCAGGGAGCTGGGTGGCCGACTTTCTTGGTACCTCTCTGGTGTTCCGTCAGTGACGGGACCAGACTCTGCTTGTTTACTGACGCTTGCGGCAGGGCTCGAATCACGAGGGGGAAGTCCCTCAACTGTCTTCCCGACCGGCTGCCCATTAGCCACATGATTCGCAAATCCTGGAGGCTCAGGAGGAAGTTGACCTAATGGTTTCTTAGGAAACTCATCCTCCTTACCTGCACAAGTGATAGAGGAATAGCCAATTAGTGCTAACATTTGTACAGAAATGCCAAGTATTAAAGACCCCATGAAATTGAAACTTTATACGAACTTTATCTGCATTCAAAATGTGCAATCTCTCTTTTCATTTGAAACAGATCAAAACATTGATGACTCCTCTTGCACATACACATTTCTAACCAATAGCTCTCTTCCGGAAAACCGCATTTCATGGAGTCTTTAAACCAGGGGTTTTCAAACTCGGTCCTGAAGGGACAGTGTCCTGCAGATTTTGGCTCCAACCTTAATTAAACACACCTGAACCAGCTAATCAAGGCCTGTTTCCGAAATCGCCCCCAAATAGGGCCCTGTCAAGGGCCCTATTTGAGGGGAGAGCCATTTGTAGTGGTGTCCGAAACCATAGTGGACGTTCTTGAGTGCACTCATTCAATCCCACAATGCACCGCAAAAGCGAGTGTACAACCATTGCATGCTCAATGGCTAGAGAATACCCATAATGCACTGTGAGAGTCGAGTGAAGAAGATGGCGCCTGCAGCAGAATCATCCATTCATTTTACATAGGACTCATCCACGGCATAATACAGTGTAATTAACACAGGAATAAATTGTAAATTGATTATTAAATTGGGTTTTTAAATTAACTAGGGTTTATACTGTACATGATTTCCATGACAGAGTTCAAGATAAATCGTTTAATCTTCCTACTGGAGCTGCCAGTTTCCCAGTTTAAATTATTATTAAACAGAGAGCACAAACTATGCAGAAGCAGCAGCAATTTCGAATTCACTCGCTCATTTTCATTTACTCCTTCAAGTAAGCTAAATTAGTGACCTATAGGGAATAGTGAATGAGGGTATAGGGGCGATTTCAGATACAGCCAAGGTCTTACTAGGCATGCTAGAAACTTATAGGCAGGTGTGTTGAGGGAAATTGTAGCTAAACTCTGCAGGACACTGGCCCTCCAGGACCGAGTTTGGAGACCCCTGCTTTAAACCATCAGAATATAAACAAACACTGAAGTGCAAGACTCATGCAGCTGAATGTCTTTTAGAAGAACCAAACTGCCAAATAAAACAAGAGTTACAGTAGACACTTTGTTCAAATAAAATCAAACCACAAACATCCACGGCTGGTGTCAAATCAAAGCTCAGATTGGGAACACTGAGGAGTCAAAAAGCTAAAAATATAAATGAAAATATTATCACAACACTTACAGTTCAAGACTGACTGTGAACATATAAACCACGTGGAGAAAAAATGTGTTAGGTAACATTTTGGAACACACAGCATGTGCACAATATTCACGTTTGTAGTGAAGGAAACTGAAGAAAACGTCAAGGGAATGATGAACGTTTACAAACAGATACTGATGGTTAGGGCGAATATTGGTGTGCATTGAGAAGGGGCTTGAGGAACGCAAACGTCAAAGACACACAAACCCGTGAACACTTCCAAAGGTGCTGGTTTTCATATGTTGGGTCCAAAATTAAGATTTGCCGAGCTGACCAAATGAATGGCATGTACGGTTTAAATCAAGACTCGTTGTTCATGGTTTCTCATGCAAATCGAACAGAAGACTCGACTCAGAATTGATTTCAATATATAGCATGTTGCTAAGCTAATGATACAATACTCTATCATACAAAAATACCCATGTTAAAAATATTTTTATTGCTAATTTTTGGCAGTGAATTAAATCTAAGTGCATTTATTATCAGCATTTCTGTCAGCTTAGATTATTTTTTTATCACAAGTTTGTCACATACTGGGACTTTTTTCATGAACGACACATGCCTGGCCAACATTAGGTATCTTTGGAAACAATTATTATTTTTTTTTTTAACAGTCTTTGTGTTGGGAGAGCAACTATGACGATGTAGTAGGCCTGGGCGATAAAACGGTATCGATATTTATCGACGATACAGCGCACGATATAGGCACGTGCTATGAGTGACGCAGACAGCACACACAAACACGAACATGAGTGCTGTGCCGGCCTGTGATGAGGAGATTGTGAGTAAAGAATGAATATTAATCGAATTTAAAATAAACATTTGCATTTGAATGCAAAAATAGTACAATCCAACGTTAGATGTGCGTCAGGGAGCGTCATCAGTGGAGCACAAGATGCGGTGATGATGATGTAAGTGAAGTTGTAGTTTAATGTTTTGTTAGTCTAGCCCACGAGACGCGCAGTTGCTGCGTTATTCATTCAAAATATTAGAGCAATATAGAAGCTCAATGCGCGGAAGATCTTGATTAGGTTAAAACCGAAACCAAGCCATTCACACAGAACGCATATTCAGCGCATTTTCTAGACGGACAAATATGACTGCTGCACTCCTGTCTCACACAAGAGATGTAGACAGCCATGCAAAGTTAAAACAGTTTAAACTTTTAGAAAACACGTCGTGCATTTTTGTGGAGGTTTTTTCCTTTTCACTGCGTCTCATATGTTTTTAAAGGCAATCTGTGTGATGTGTGATTCAACTCTTTGTATTAAGCAATGCATAAATACGTGATGCTGTTTTGTTCATAATTGTTTATGCAATTTACGAAATTATATTTGATTTATACGAGTTCTTTTAGACGTAATGCACTTTTTTTTTTACAGACAGTTACTTCCTTAAAGGTCCCATGACATGCTGCTTTTTGGATGCTTTTATATAGGCCTAAGTACTAAGCCCCTAGTACTGTATCTGAAGTCTCTTTCCCGAAATTCAGCCTTGGTGCAGAATTTCAGCCACTACGAGCCAGTCCCACAATGAGCTTTCCTTAGGATGTGCCATTTCTGTGTCTGTAGCCTTAAATGCTAATGAGGAGGAGAGAGGCGGGGCAACTGCCATGCTTCGCTCGTTTGCAACCCATGATGTCTCTCGAGGAAAAAAAAATATTGCGCTCGCCTCGCAGGGTAGTAGCTCATTTTCTCATGGGCGGGCCAAATTCTCTGGGCGGGCAAAGCAGAGAAAGGGGAGGTAACCTTTCCCCGTATGACGACATAAAGGGAAGATTCCAGATTGGGCCATCTGAGCTTTCATTTTCTCAAAGGCGAAGCAGGATACCCAGGGCTCGGTTTACACCTATCGCCATTTCTAGCCACTGGGGGGGCCATAGGCAGGCTAGGGGAACTCATATTAATGTTAAAAAACCTCAAAGTGAAATTTTCATGCCATGGGACCTTTAAGTTGACAATTTAATGTGCTGCATTATTTTGCTCATTGCGCCCTCCTGTGGCCTCGGGAGACAAGCCAAAAGTTTAACCTATTCAATCTGCAAATAAAACATTAGAAATTAGATATTTGTTTAATTTTAATTTTGTTTTTGACTGTTAAAACAAAAAAAATATTTGTTGTTTGTCTCAATAAATTGAGTTAATTTAAAAATACAGTGGTTAAATGTAAACATTTGTATCTATTGCTCTCTAAAAAAGGTTATAAAAAAATGTCAATAATTATCGATACCGAACGATATGAAACATTATATTGTTTTACATTTTTTAGCCATATCGCCCAGCCCTACGATGTAGGCAGCTTATTATATATATATATATATATATTTTTTAAGTTTCAAGGCCAATAGGAAATCTCTATGGTTCTCGATTCACATCATCTACTTAATTCATTTGCCACTGGCAGATGTGGCAAAAAGTTAATTTTGGACACTTTTATCTACTGACAAGTGTGTTTTTTATTTGCTTAAGTTAAATGTATCTATTATAACGGTCCTTTTACATCTTTCTAACATACAGTACCCCACAACACATTTTTGTGACATTCCCGAAACAAACATTTTAAATAAATGAAACAGGTTTTGTGAAAGACAGAGAAACAAACGAGGGGAAAGGGACGTGTGTGTAGTGGGGGTAGACGAACGAATGGTTGGTTGATTGACAGATAAAGTATTCAGTGCGTTTTTGCCCACCGGTTGGTTTTGTAGGAGGGTTGGTGCCCCCCTTTCCCAGACCCACTAGTGTAAGCAGGGGCTATGTTTGAAGCGAAAGGGAGAGAATGCAGATTAGACAAACAGTACATAGCAGCAGTGAATGAGTGTCTCTGTGTGTGAGTGTGTATGTGTGTGTTTGTGCATGAGATAAAGGAACAGAGTCAAAGAGAGATTACCAGGAGACGGTGTGTGCAGTAGGATGTGTCCCTCTATGGGTGGTGACACACACAGCCCATTTTATGATTTCAGTGCATGTGTGTGTTTAAAGTACCTGGAAGTGGCAGATCCAGTTTAGATCGTCTGAGTTCAGACATGGAGTGTTGAAGCTGCTCTATCACAAAGTCATCCTCAAAAAAGAAATCCTTTGACAGAGTCACCTGCAGAAACTTCACAAGCTCCTCCATGGACAACTTCAAGAGGGTTTCTAACACACAAACACACAGAGCAATGAGCATACAAGTAGTTACAACTAGAATGGGAAAGAAGAAGAATCATACACTAATTATAGCTAATTACAATTATTATAGTCTATCCTGATCAAGTCCTTTCAGGGTTTATTTTGCACATTGATCATCCATTTGTATTTATGAATAATCTGTATTATATGTAATATCGGAGTTATTACTTTTGTGGAGTTTGAGGATGGTGTAGGACATTGCAGTCAGAACTCGCTCTCCTTCCAGAATATAGATGTCCCATATTCTCAATGTAAGTGTGAATGGAGTCTATTCAATAAAACACACATTAATGCAGTCAAATTAGTAAGGTTTCACAATGGACAACATAATGCAACATAATAATATGCTTGGATTTACTGAAATAACATTTAAAGAGTGCATACCCGATCCAAGAAACACTGAAAAAACCATTTCAGAGTGTACAGGCTGGTGTACACCTCTTGATTATCCTGTAGAGGGCAGCAAAGGGACAGGTATTGTACGGGAATGACATCAAAACACACATAAAAAACACATTTTATTCATTCACACATATATATATATATATATATATATATATATATATATACTATAGGCTACATACTAGTGTACTACATATGCCACATTATGTACTTATTTTAAACTTTATGTGAAAAAAAAATGCAATTATATATACATATGTAAAATATGTAAAAAAATAAAATAAAAAAAATTTACTTTTGGCAATCCGATCAAATAATTAAGGGGAAAAACATGTTACTTGTTCATCATTCTAAAACTAAGAGCACACTGTGAGCTTTATAGCTATATACTGCAAATGTAGGTCATCCAGGTATCCTATGCATGCAGAAGATTCACATATTGTGCAGTGTATATACTGCAAAAACAGTGCAAGTACTATCGATGTACTGCATACTATTTGGAACAAAGCCATATGTTCTCTCTCTCTCCCTCACTCACACACACACACTCTCACACTTTATTGAGTGAGAGCTTATCGTTCTCTTTTATCCTCTTTCTAATCCATTCACATCAAAGACTGTCTCTCTCACACAAATAATTAATTAATTAATCCATCACATTATTTATTAATATTGCCTTTTATTAATTACTCTGCCCTTTAATGAATCCCAGGCTGACATTTCTTTGTGAATTCTTTGTTACATCAGCGCTCAGCGTTAGCCAGCTGCTCGAGTTTATTTGAAAAAAGACACAGGCCAGAAATTATGGAATATAGGGCAAAACTAAGACTGGATATGAAGCTTTTCAGACATTGTGAAAATTTGAATTTAGGACACGCAGGACAAAATTAATATCAACACTATTAAAAAAAGTCTTAGATGCAAGTAATGTGTACCGTATTACAAGTGAAGTGGTTTAAAGTTCAGATGTCCCACGTTTTGAATTTAGTGATGTTTTGATGTTTTGGAGGCGTTTGTGTCTTACTAGATGTTGTTTGAGCTTAGGCATCATCTTCTGCAGGATCCGGTCATGATGCTCCTGGAAGCGCATGAGTTTAGGGAACCCTGGTATAAAGAAACCTAGACAAACACAACATTTTTCAATTTAGAACAAAAATCATATGTGAAGTGCATGTTTGCAATATACAGAACATGAAATGAATGTTTGTAGCAAGTGGTGACTCAACACAGTAAGTAAAAATTAATTAATTATACTACGAACTGCATAGCCTATGCCGCTTTCATATATTTATTTAATTAAATAATTATATGAATATTTATAAAAAAATTATATTTAATACTAATAAAGCAAGCATTTTCTTTTCCCTTATAAAACTTGCATTTTGCCATTTCTAAATATCTATTATTATTGTAATTATTATTCAGGGTATATACAGGAATCATGGAGTTCAATTTAATACCTTTTAAGACCTTTTTTAAGACACTTTCCATACATTTTAAGACCTCATTGCCACTCCATGTTTTAACCGGTTACATCGGCGACACTTTAACTTACATTTACTATACAGTGGGGCAAAAAAGTATTTAGTCAGCCACCAATTGTGCAAGTTCTCCCACTTAAAAAGATGAGAGAGGCCTTCCTTATCAATACAACATAATTCAGAAGGGGTAACGAAGCACAAGATAATTAATTGAGTGACTAACCAATGCAACCCTAGAAGCAAGAATTAGACCAATAAACAAAACAACTGACAAAACTTATTGAGGAGGGAAAATAAAGCTGTCCGAGCTAACGGGACAATGAGTTCACACAGTATATTCAAAAGATGTATTTGTCACATCAACTCTTATCTTAGCTGTTTTATGGAACACTTCTCATGACAAACACCTAACTGATCAGACCGTTTACCTGTGATTACGGAGTGCTTGATTTGATACAGACATGACAGAGTGTCAGTACTGCACTTGATCGTGTCTGAATGATCATGGAAGGTAAAATAATGATCACAACTATTACATCATTTTAATTGTGCATTCCAAGCTCATGCCAGTAAAAACAAAACAAAAAAACGCCCAAAGTAGCGCAATTACCATGTCCCAAATATAAAAATGTCATTTCCATCCCTAAAATACATATTTTACAGTCACTGTTATGCACATTTATCATAAACACAGCTCAAAT